GTCTTCGTCTCTACTGTTCTATATATATATATATATATATATATATATATACCCCTTCCAAGACCATACGTGCTGTGATCACAATGCTAATATTTTAAGTTGCTCCAGAAGAATAAACCTGACATCAGCGATGTATCCTACACTTTTATATGAAGATAATTTGCTTTGTTATAGCGGAATTAGATTCTTACCATAATCTAGGGAAAGGGGCAAAGTAACAGGGAAGACGAAAAGGAGTGTGAAAGGCAGAATCTACAATAAATCCAATGCTAGTAGAACTTCCATTTCACACTAATTCTCGTTTGTAAACATCCCTACCTGAGGGTTGTGTTCACCCTTTTAGTGTGCGGTCGGGGAAGTACTTTCGTGAATCGCACGGAGAGTCGGGATACGGCACTCCAGAAACATGCCGCTGTCGGCAGGCAGTCCCACCAAGGCGCGTAGGAAGTTTTCGATGGATTGTTTTTGTCGATTCAACGCGTTGATCACGGGAGTTCCTTTAGGGACTTGTGGTGCTTTCAAAAAGTACGAGAGAATCGACAGCACGGTATCCATATGTTCAAATCGAGAACCGTCCTCCATGTCAACGCGGATCTCAACGCGCTCCATGAGCTCCGTCAGAACCAACAAGTCAATAATGATAGGTGCGGCAAGTAAAGAATCTTCACAGATGTTGTGCATGGATATTGTTTGTTCTCCACCCATGAAGATTGAGAAGCTGTATTCATCCATAGCCCGCTTTCTATCGCCAACATAGGGCAAGTATTTGATCACGACGCAGTGGTCCGGTCCCTTACTGCCCTCAGGAAACAATATTTTGTTCGAGGCAATCATATCATCCACTACATTACTCTTGGTAATTTCTTTTGAACGGAACTGCGCTGGCTCGGAAAGGTTATAGCCATCGTTGTTTCCGAGGTGGTTGTAACTCGCGATACACTCAGGCTTAATCCCAGCGCCTACGAAGAACTCCACCAAAGCACTTTTCATTTTGGTTTGGCCGGATTTGAAGTCATCGCCGCTGATAAAAACGCGGTGGCGCTGCGCTAATTCCACAAGGCCCTCACAAAGGGTGTTCTGTGGCGAGCCATTAATATAGCTACAGCCCTCCAGAATGGCCGCCGTAGCGTAGAGCGCCGAAGGCGCAATCTCCGCGATGTTGGCTTGAATGCCCGCAATAAGGTTGTCTGCGCTGTCGTGGACACCGGCCATATGGTTGCCAAACCTCTCCGTGCTTGCAGTCCACAGGACAATTACCTTGTCAAGTCTGTTATCCGCCTTGAACTTTTGGATGTCTGCGCGGAGCCTGCTCAGTGTATCCCATTTACTCGCCGTTGTGATGACGTTGTCCGCCCGCGTGGCCTGGTTTCCAGCCAGAAAGCTGATGTTGAATGCCGCCGGCAGGGGAGTTAACTCCTTCAGGTGTTCGTAGAGGGCGTCCTGCAGGGGAACCTCCAGCACCCCAGCGCGGCGCATAGCGTCGCCGAGGTTCCTCCCATTGCAATCCCACCCCCGACCACCA